ACTAAGTCGGCGATAAATTCCTTTCTTAGCACGTATCATTGTGCGCTCCAACATGGAATATATGGGACAAATTTCATGCTGATATCGATCCCGAAGGGGACGGTATTTTCCCTTCACAACAGCCTCAGCCACTTTCCCTAGCGCTTGAAATGTTTGATGTAGATCTCTCAGCTTATGTACATTTGAAATCCGCCGGGAAAAATTCGAGTTCTGGCGATTCAATGCTCCTTTAAGGCCACTAATAATTTCCACTTGGTCAGGTTCCCTTTGAGCCGCCATTTTTTTTTTTTGATTCACATGGACCCAATCCTCCGCGCGGCCGCGAAAAGTTGGCCGAATTTTAGGTCAAAATTTCCAAGCGTGTTTTCTATCTTTATGCTAAGTTTTCACTATATTCAACGGGCTACGCTCACGCGCCCCATCATACTATTTTAACTGTATATAGCGTACAAAAGTTTTAACTGCTGCATAATAATAATAATAATAATAATAATAATAATAATAATAATAATAATAATTATAATTATAATTATAATTATAATAATAAGGAGTTGGTCGGAAGTAAGAGAAAGAGTAAGATAATTATAATAATAGTAATAATAATAATAATAATAATAGTAATAATAATAATTTATTATCAAACTCTTCGTAAAAGAGCAATGTAATGGGCCTTTTGAGCCTCATTTGAATATTTCCCAAGGCCTTCTTTCCATATTCTTCCTAGTTTAATAGTAAAATTTTTAGCGTTGTAACATTCTATAGATTTTACTGATAGAATTGTCGATAATTGTCCTTGTTTCTCAAGAGATTTATGCAATTTACTTACAAGTTTTCATTTTTGGTTTCGATTTTTATTTTTAATTACTGTTAGAGCACCTACTACTTAAGTCTGTGCCGCAACAAATCAATAGCGGGATGACTTCACTTTGTTGGGTCGGTACAAGGCGCAACATCTGAAGATTTTGTTGGAAATTTCTGCAATAATTTTTCACAACCCTTAACAACCTGATTTGCTGCAAGACAGGTTTGACTCGTGGGCGGAAAATTGTGCAATATCGCTTTTCATCTCGTTTTTGCAGATTCCACGTCGCCACCACTGGTTTCCCCGCGGAATGACGTCTGAGGAACGAGTGCAGAAATTCAATACGGATGACACGTCACTTCTCAGATCTGAGTAGAACTTCTGATTGGTTTTCTCGCGAGGGAAATTTGCTACAACCAGTAAGTAGCACTTCCCAGATCTGGGTGGTGACGCGTCACCAGTATAAAATTTCTTCGCTCGTATCTTAGACGGCATTTTGCGGGAAAAAAACAAAACGAGTGGTGGCGTCGCGAAATGTCGGCTTTTTTCCCAGGCTACAAAACAAGTTTCACGTTTTCCTTACCCATTTTACCGTAGCTTAAGTGACTTTAGCACTTTCATTTTGCTTTATTATAACAGGTAACAAAAATGATGTAGTAAGAAATCCTGCTTGCTATGGAGAGTACACTTTTATCCAGTTTGTAGCTTCCGCTGTGTGTCACAGAAATCCACTGACAACTGGCCGATATCTTGGCATTAAAACTACGGAAAGACAGTTTCTGACGCTTTGCGAGGTGGAAGTCTACTCGCGAGGTAACGGTCTGATTATTTATTGCATCGCTCTTAAACAACTTCCGGTGGGCTTTTGGTTCAATTAGATCAGAAAGCTTAGAAAAGATTCCGAGCTCCAGAGGTAAATCTAACTCACGGCTCTCCGAGTTTTAGTTCGGATGCTCGAATCACTAAGCTACTGGAGACTCTTTGGCGGGAAAAAGTGAAGAACAGCTCCCCCAAAAAACTGTCGGCCGACTGTCGTATACCGCCTTTTGCGAAAATTAAATTTTTCCGCCAACAGTCGGCCGACTGTTGGCAGCATGTCGGTAATGTGTCGGCTAAGTGTCGGTTGACAACGCCTGTCGAATACCAGAAAAGCCTCTGCTCGCAGGTAATAACATTGCATATCGACGCGAAATGTAACTTTTTCACCTGAGTTCGCCATTTTGTTTAGGTTTTTTAGGGACCAATCCCATCGCAATCTCCCATGTTTAGGTTTTTTAGGTACCAAACCCCTCGCAATCCCATCGGCTCATCCTCGCAGTCAAGAAGCAAAAAAATTGTTTAAAGCCGCTTCTTGTATCTTCTGTTTTGCTTAATTACTAAATCGGAACATTATCAATTAATCTTTATCATTGGCCATTGACTTTTGACCAAAAATAAATTCAAACAGACAGAGAAAATTGAAAGTGCGTATATGACGCGCTAAAACGAAACCCAATGCATTATAGGGCGATTTCATAGATAAACTTATTCAAGACATACGATGATGCAATTTTAGCACAATTTGTGGTAGGTAATGCGACTGATTCTAATGGAACGGTAAGGGTCGAGTGACGGCGATGTCATTACACTTGTCAACTTTTTAAGTGTCGGTTTACTGTTGGTCAACTGTCCGTTAACTGTTGGTATACTGTCGGTCGACAGTTGGCCGACAGTAAACCGACAGTCGGCCGACAGACTTTTAGGGGAAATCTTCTTCGCTTTTACCCCCTTTGGCGAGTGGGGTAGGTTATCGGTTATTGGTCGCAGTTATGATAAGTTCAGGCAACATACATGCTATAGAAACAAAGCGAATAGAGGAATAATGCTTTTTAAAGGTTACTTCGAGCTGTTGGTCAGGCTTGGTGTCGCCTGATGTGAGGTAACCCAAGACAATCTGGGATTCAGGATTCCACGTTGTGGATTCCAGATTCAGTGGGACTTGGATTCCGGATTCCCATCTTAATTAGTAGGATTCCGGAATCCTTAAGCTAAACTCCGAAATCCAAAGCGCTCGATTGCGGATTCCACAACCGGATTCCGGATTACCTTTCATGGGGCTATTGGTGGCTCCACCTTTTTTTTTTCTTTTGAACTATTCCAATGCAGGTGGATAGACAGAGAACTTAAGATTTTATTGTTTATTTATTTTTTTTATTGAATTGAAATGCATCATAGAATGAAATGACAGCCTAAATATTAGCCGTCCCTTCGAGTCACAAGGGACCTCACGAAACCACGACGGCGACGGCAACGGGAACGTCAAAAAGCAGTAGGTTTAATGAGCAAAACAACGACTCTGCACGTGCATCACGCTTTTTTGTACATTTCTTTGCCGTCCCTGCACAACTACGACGTGAAATGACCAAATTTTAAGTTTACTTGGGAACGGGAATGGCAAGGCGATAAATTCTACCATCTCTGTTTGAACTAGCTTGTGCTCCCTTCTTTTCAGCTCCAACCCAAATTCCCTTCTTTTTAGTAACTGGGTCCCTAGGGATAATCACGAAAAAAAGTGAAGAGATGCGAAGTTTGTTTTCATCGACGTTCATGGACGTCACCGTTGTCGGATCGTAAGGTCCCTACATACTCCCGAAAGGGACGTCTGAATCAACGAGCCGTTGATGCCGTCCAGTGACGTCACTACTCCTTTAATTTAACTCATGTAAAAAGTTAAACACGACTTTCAACTGGCAAGCAAAAGAAAATCTTCATGAAAGTTACAGAATTGTTTTACTCCTAAATCATTATATAAACTTTGTATTAAACGGTCAAACTATTAACCACATGCAGTATGTTAGCCTGCGTAGCAAGCGTTTCCGTGCTGTTTCGGGGCAAAGAAAGACCGAGGAACGAGATTCTCGGTTTTGGCCGCGCGAGAAATGGAAACGCTTGCTACGCAGGCTAGCAGTGTGCTGAACAAACCTTTTGCCTGTATGGCGCCATAAGTCAATAATCAAACTTGATAGCGGCCACGCTAGAATGAAATACACACGGGGCAATTCCTTTAATTTGCTATTTGTTTCTTAACTAAAAAGAAGAAAAAAAGAAAGCAAGAAAGTTACCGAATTATTACACTTGACAGCAGAAATGACAGGAAGTTCGACACAAGCTTCATAGTAATAAACCACACAAAAAAATCGATCACTGTTGCTTCAGAATCACTGCCGAAACTACAAATCGGTTCTAAATAAAAACCTACCGCTTTTCCGCATTGGTTCTTGATTCGTAGTTCAATTTAACAAGTCATAGTTTTGAAGACAAGGTCTATTTTGCTTTTTGCGAATAAAGATTGTAGAAATTTTGAACCCCCCGCAAGCACTCAGATTATCCTCTGAATATCAAAAGTTTCTCATAATCATATAGATAATTATGCGAACCAATCAAAATCAACCAATCGAAATCATTACCCGTTTTTCGGGTAGCGACGTCACTGGACGGCATTAGAGGCTTATTAATTCAGACCAGGAGCCGTCAGACGTCCCTTATGCGACTCAAGGGGATGGCTCAAATATGAATCATATTAATTTTCATCTGCGAATAAAGATATAAAAGTGTACATGATCATTAGAATGAAAAGCATTACTGAGCAACGTGCTTCTTCCTTTGTAGAAAATCTTGCGTATCTAAAGGACACGAATCAGTCAAGTACTTATAGCGACCGTTTTGCGACGGGTGCTAGTAGCAACGCCGTGGACGGAAACAGCAATACTAACTTTTTTGGCGGGTCATGTGTAAACACGCTTCACGACAAACAGCCCTGGTGGAGAGTAGACTTGGGAAACGTGGAGCTAGTGAATGAAGTTTACGTCGTAAACAGAGGAGACTGTTGTCAGAACAGATTGAATCCTTTCGAGATCAGAGTGGGTGAGTAAACATTTCTGGTAAAGACAGTGAATATTTTGTTAGTGTGCGTGCATTTTCCCTGTAGATCGCGAGGTAAATACGTGCATTCGAGTGATTTATTGTGTGTTTTCACATGACGTCATGGCGACCATATTTGTGTCCCAAAACAATGAAACGGCGGCCATGTTTGTTTCCCAAACCAGTCCTGTGGGAGTTGAACTCTTTTCTTATGTAAATGCTTTCTTTTGTTCCAATTAATTTGGATAGATGCTGGCCACGTGAGTGAAAACATAGAATTCATATTAATAGCCCACGCTCAGTATATTAAAATTCTAACATGACTCCGAGGCTTTTTGGTTATTTTTCTATGGCATAGGTCGCAGTTGGGAAAAGTTTTCATCTTTGCCGGCAAAAAAACCACAAAAATTCGAAACCGCAACCGGAAAAGAAAACTTTTAGTCAAATCGAGAAGGGTCGCACTAGTATTTACTAGTGGGAGTTAATTGTCGTTGTTTTGACACATTGAGAACTAAAGTAGGCCAGATACCAGAGAACATTATCTCTTCGCAGTCCGATCATTTGGCGTAGGATCGTTTTCCTCCTTTCCCAGTTTCAGGAGGATGGGAGAAATAAAGAAAATAAAGTGCTTGGCTGCAAAGACTGCATTTAGCTCGCAGAATAACAAACCTGTGACGGTGCCTGGGTAGACTATAATTGGCTCGCCTGTAGAGAGTTCCCGTAAAAACGTTGAAATAGCGAAGGATTACAAGCTTATGAATTGCTCGCCCGTAGAAAGTTTTCGCAAAAACGTTAAAATGGCGAAAATTAGTGGTAGCCTCGTCCGTCCACAACGAAAACGCGAAGGTCAGAAAATTTCAACGATTGATTCAAATTGATCGTGTTTCAAATTGGTCACGTTTCGCTGACAAGTGCTGACACTTACCGCCGTGATTCCTATTGTTTAGCTCGAGTTTTCCAAAATCTGCCTGCCCCACCCAAGCACTTCGGCATCTTTGATGTTTTTCTGTTTCGCAAAGTTTTTTTCCAACCGGAAAACTTGGGGTCGCACTTGGCAATGTCTCCTGATGACAGATTTCTACCGCAAGGTAAACAAATTTTTCCAAAACTTTGCCAAGTGCGACCCATGCCTATATTCGGTTTGGTTTTCTTTGTGCTCAAGTCTTTTCTGGGAATTGCGAGACAATGGAGTCGTGGAAAATCTGCAATTTTTTGTCTCGCTATCCCAAGAAAAGACTTGAGCGCAAAGAAAACCAAAACGAATATAAAAAAATGACCAGTAAGCCTCGGGGTCATGTTAGAATTTTAATATATTGAACGTGAGCAATTAGTATTTTCTACAAACTGTATTTTGCATTAAAATAGTGATTTTTAGAATTTAATGCACTTATATGTATTCTAATTCTGTAGCCCTTATTCACGATACTCGCCATCTTCGCACGCGCTTTAGGGTTGATGGTATAGAAGCAATGTCACGTGGTATTTCAGGGGGCAAACAAGTAAAAAAAATTGCTAATAGGATTAATCGCCGTCGAGTTTGTTTATTCTGTCAAAACGGTACGACGATTTTACTCTTGCAAAATGTACAGTTCGAAATTCGGATTCTTTGATTGCTGTGAGGACATCTACGGTCTCTACTGCATCCAGAAAAGAAACAGTCATCACTTCCTCTCATTATTTACCATGATCATTTTTTTGTTTTCTAGAATAAACAAACTCGACCACGATTTCTTGAATTGGCAACTTTTTGCACTCGTTTGCCCCCTGAGAAACCACGTTGCATTGCTTTTATCCCATCAGTCCTTAAGCTAGTGCATACGGATGAAAGAACTCCCAACAATGTTGGGAGTTGTTGGCCAACAATGTTGCGTCCGTTTGCACGGGGCTAAAAGCTATTACCGGTTTCTAACGTTGCGCAACAACTCCCAACAACACGCAAAAACATGCAACAGGATGTTCAAACAGGCGCAACATGTAACATCCAACAATGTTGGGAGTTGTTGGCCAACAATGCAAAGATGCCGAGTATCATGAAAAAGGTCTATACGGCCAATGTGTACATTGGTGTGTATGTGTAGGGGTAAATTCGAGTAACGGAGGTATCACCAATCCGAAGTGTGGGGATGGCTATAGCGTTCCTGGTGGCCAGGGTGCCTCGTTCTTCTGTCGCCCAAGTTTGTACGGGAGATACGTCACCATACGAAGACATGATGACAGGACAGTTTCATTCAATTTCTGCGAAGTTGAGGTTTATTCCGCACGAAGAGGTACAGAACCATCCGGGATTAGTGCTTTGGTATTTACATAGGATAGAGCAAAAATATCGTTCGTAGTTTGTTCCAGTTTTTTTTTTTTGTGCTTCGATTCTTGTAAGCGACTACCTCCCGCAAGCGACTGCTCAGTCTTTTTATTTTGGGTGGTCGCGTCCGGGAGGTTCGACTGTAATTGATAATCTTGATTCTAGAAGAAAAAACTATTGGTTTGGAATTATGTCTGGAAAAGTCTTGAATTTTGGATCTAAAAATCAGTACGAACTCTTGTTAATGTGCCGAGAGCTTAACTGTAATTAGAACCAACCTTGGGAAGCAACTCCCAACCCCCTCGGAAATTGCCTCCTCTTGAACCTCCTCTCCCCTCGGAATTTCCGTTGCCCTCCGTGGCGGGGGGTGGGGATAAGGATATTTTCTGGAACTACACACTACAATTTTTTCGGTGATTATTCTAGGCACCGCATTACAACTTGAAAAATTTGGCCAAAAATTTTCATGTTTCAGTTTGCGTCCACTTTTGCCATCCGTTGCAATAGAATACAGGAACAGTTTAAGTGCCTGAATACAACCTTGAATAAGAAAAAATGGGCCATTAATTTTTTTAATTTAATTGAGCAATGACACGTTTTATCATTTGAAAAACATAGCAAGGTGCGTGAGGTAGCCCCTTAATCTTCAACATGATACTTACTTAGGGAAGATATAACAAAAAAAATCCATTCACTCTTGTCCTCGTAAGGTTCAATCAACATATGATTAAGTTATAAATTTTTTTTTTTTAGCGTGCCAAATCCAGGCCATCGGTCTGGCCAGCAGTGACGCTATCCTAGACAACAGCTTCTCTGCCTCGACTCATCTTCCTGGTAATGAAGCTTCCAAAGGTCGTCTAAACGGAGATGGCGCCTGGTCACCTAGCGGAAATGGTGATGACAACGACTACTTACAAATTGACCTGAAAGACCAGTTTTTTATCTGCGCCGTAGCCACTCAAGGAAGTTCAAGTGCCAATCACTGGACAAAAAAGTTCAAATTACGTTATGCGCTGGACAACTCAACCTGGTTTACTTATCAAGAAAACGACATTGACAAGGTGTGTTTGGACACAAGAAAACTTGCAACGCAATTAGAACTACTTAATGGGCCATTTCCGAGTTGCTCCAAGCCTCTGTATCAAAGCAAGGCTAACTGCGAAACTGTTGATATGAAAATAATTATCTCAGGCCGTTAGCAATGAAATAACTGAAAGCCCTCTCAACAGAGAACCTGTTTTTTATCAGTAACCCACCAATCTTACTTAGACTCCCTGGAAAAAAACCTCTGTAAGCAACCCTCCACTCCCTCGGAAATTGTCTCCTTTTCAGGGGTACCCAACGAGAATATAGTTCAAAACCACCTAACATAGCATTGTTAAAAGTATTTTAGTATTTAAACGGTACTTATAGGCATATTTTTATCCCCTAAAAATTTTTCATCTGTTCGGATTTCCTAACTGAAAGTCTAATTATCCGAAAGTTATAGGGGCCCAAACGTACCTTTTCGAAAATCTCAGCCAGAAAAAGGCTTCCGAAAATTCTAGGTGATCTTTTTAGGGCAAAAATCCGTTAAAAATGGGCAGTTATACCATTAGATGTTCGAAAATCCTAGGAGAGGCAGGCAAGCAAGAAACTTTACAACAAATGTTCCGAAAATTCTAGATCACAAATCGTCTTCCGAACAGACATTTTACGAAAATTGACGTTGAGTACCCCTGTCCTTTTGGACGTTTGTAGTCGTGCATAATGACCTAATGAAAAAAGCGCGCTTCGTCGAGTTTTATAACAATAATTGCTTGCTTTGAGGACATCTACGGTCGTTATGTCATCCAAAACTGTGACCATGATTACCTCCACCCGCAATTTGCCATTAAGCAACTAAGCAACATTTGGCAGGCAAGCAGAGTGTATTATGGAGGATTCCAGAAATAAGGAGTACAGTCAAGGCAGGTTAAGCGTAGGCCCCAAGGTTCTATTAAGGAATTGATTATTTGTAAAATGAATCCGTTTGTCGTTCTCGTTAATAGTGCCAAATTGAAATCAGCATTTCTGCATACGCAATGAGCAGTGAATATTTTACGAGAACTTCTGTGTATTTGGTCAGACTGAAAATATTTCAATGGGTTAGATTTCTTAGAAGACGTTCAAATCAAATTCAGGGAAACAGAGCTGGTAGAAATGTCTTAACTACCTGGCGTATGAATTCACGGTCTAATACACATGCAAGAATGCAGAGATGAATCTGAAATCTACAACTACCGACGGATTCAACTTTCGAATAATAAATCCATTAATGGAATCTTAGGGGGTACGCTTGACCTGGCTCGACTGTAACCTTTTTCATAGTGCCCACAATACACTCTGTTAAACCCGGATTTTTTTTCCTCTTAATTTCCCTTGGGACGACCCAAGGAAAAATTGTATGACCATGGTTATAAATATTTTTTTGGATTGGGGGTAGTGGGAACAAGATGTTTTATGGTCAATGTGAAGAAAGGTAAATTGGAAAGATTTTATATAAAAATACAAGAATAAAAATTTACGCGGTTACACGAGACAACTTTTTCTAGGCTGACTGATGTTAGGTTTACTAAGGGAAAGTTGCGTTCTACCCGCCGGTTAAGCTATTTGACCTGAAAAAAAATTTGCTAAGGTAACTTTTGCACCAAAAAAAGGAGCATCTTTAGAGTCTATTTTCTTAGTGTAGTGGTTACATTTAATTTACAACAATGTTAACTGTTTGCAGAACTTTAACGCCAATGACGGGAAAGATGATATCGTAAAACACAGTCTGGTTGGTATAGTTAGAGCAAGGTTCATCCGCTTTCAACCAACAGAGTTTGAAGCTGAAAAAGCTTTAAGAGTAGAGGTGTATGGAATACTCACAACTGCAGGTAAATTGTGTATATTGTAGTCTGAAATGTCAGCCGCCTGAACCTCTACCCCATCGCCCCCACCCACACCCACCCTCCCCCGCCACCTCTACTACTGAATCAGCGTGACCAACAAGGCTAAAACTGGTAACGACAGACGCGCCCACACAGTCTTACGCAATGATATACCTAAAAACTACCTCCAGGAGGGGCGGCACAACATAAGACAAGTTCCCCCCCCCCCCCCCCCCCCCCCAACCCCCATTACCCGTTGGTTTTGTAAAAATAGTGCCTGGTACAGTTTGAGAAAATAATGGTCGACGTTCGGTCTCCTTCTAAGAAAGAGAAATCCGGCACAACTGTGTAATGTGCACGTGGTAGTGACAACCTTAAAAGCTTTCGAATATAGTTAAGGATATCGCCGTGCAATCACTGACTAATAGAGAAGTAAAGTGAAGCTTACTCACAAGGCCTATTTAATATGATTTATATGGTTTCATTGGAGCATATCGGTGCATATACCTTCCCAGAAATTTGCACCAACCAGGTCATTTTTTGAAAGTGAACATTTTTCATCTTCTTCTTTCTGGAGATTAGTTTTTGTGACCACAAATAAAAATTAATTGTTGCTTATTACCAACTATTGTTTTTAGTTAGTTTTCGTGGATGTCGATAAGTATTCTCTCTTGAAGCATTATGACACATTTTTTAGTAAAAATGCTATTTCAATGCATTGATGAAAGCTATTAATTGAGTTCCTGCTGTTGGTATTTCTTCACTCAAGTTCCCTTTCCTTATTCTTCCCACAACCCATAGACCCTCTAACAATATATGGTAAATAATAGGTAGATTTTTCATTATCCGGATTGAGAGAAACACATCTTTAGTAACGTTCTTTCGGAGCATTGATAAAAGCTGTTGAGCTCTTGTCGGTGTTGTTGTTATTGTTTTTTGTTTTTTTGTTTTTTTTCTTTAAAGTTCCCTCTCTGCTTTTCTTTCATGTTTTCTTCCCACACTGAATCGCTAGGTCCTCTAAAAATATACAGTAAATCATCATCCAGATACTTAATTTTCTTCTAGCGCCAAGCCGTGCTCCCACAAGCTTTATAGTGACCCCTGACTCCTCCACCAGTGTTCAAGCATCCTGGCAGTTACCAACGGTAGACTTCCAGGCGATTACAGGATTCAGGCTCCTGTACAGCAGAAACTTTAGCTCTGTTGAGGATCCACTTAACGTCATAACCATTGAAGGCAACTCTACCCTTAGCTATGAAGTCACTGGACTTGGGATATTCACAAAATATGAATTTCAAGTATTAGCTTTTTCAATTATGGGTGATGGACCGTCAAGTGCCGTTAAAACTGTGAGAACTAACGCGGAAGGTAAGTATTCACTGTGGAGCTATTTCTAAGTGCTAGCCTTTTTTGAGGATACCGACTATAATCAATTCATCTTGCTCTTTCTCAGAGATTGAAATTATCGCTGGCCCACTCCCCAATGCGAGTGTGAAGGCGCCTCGGACGATTGGCAATCGTTGATTACTCGCCCGATTGCGTCTTTAATCCTGCCTTCTATTATAATACTCTATTTATCTCCATATCTGTTTTTGTCGCTTTATCTATATCGCTGTTGGGAATAGATGATCAAGGTGGAATCTGTCTTGAATTTTTAGAACAGATTGATTTTTAAAATGCATTTATATGAAATATCTTTTAGGATAGATAAAGGCATAGTAATAATTATTGTTTTCTGGTGCAGGTTAAGGCCATTGCATTTTTTTTTTTTTAAATCTCTGTGGGATTGACAAATTTAGATAATCGAAATGCATCCTTGTTGTTGTAGTCGAATGCCATCATCCTAAATATGGCCTTTTGACTTCTCGTTTTCAGCTCCTTCACAAGCCCCTACGAACCTGGTTGTGACTGTCAATAACTCAACTAGTGTTTCAGCGAACTGGCAACTCCCCCCCGGGATATCCCAAAATGGACTTATTTTGGGATTTACACTTTACTACCGGATAAATGGCACCTCTGGTCAAGCGAACACTGCTACTGTTCACGATGGAACAGTTCTCTCTACAACGATCACGGGACTTGGGAAATTTACAGGATACGAATTCCGAGTGTCCGCATTCACTTACGCCGGGGACGGACCGAGAAGCTCTGTTGTGACGGAGAGAACAAGTGAAGATGGTAAGACATATACAGTCAATGTAAGAATGAAAACACGTACATGTACATGAACGATCCTTTCGGCTAAGCTTATATGCGTTAGGCTAAGAATTCTCAGTTCTCATACTTGAAATATCACTAGCCTGAGGAAACAGCCCACATTTCCGACGCCACGACAGGATTCTCCAACGAAATGACGTCTCTGAGAAAAGAGCGCAGAAATTCCATACTGATGACAGTGCTTCTGATTGATTGAAATTTTGCTTTAACCAATCAGAAACACTACGATCAAGTTGATGTATTCAATACGTTAATCCTTGACACGCTGAGTGAACATGCACCAATTAAACGTATGAAGATCAAATCACGCCCGAATCCGTTTCATCACTCCTGAGATCAAACAATTGATGAAAACCCGTGAGAACCGGCATAAAAAAGCGATTAAAGCAAACGACAAACTCCACTGGAACGCTTTTCGATTTTTTATACAGGAAGTTGTGAATATCCCAAAGGAATTGTAGTAAGTTTCATCGGTATCTTTGTGCCCAAGAGAACTTTCCATGATAAAGAGTTATCTTTATTTTTGTCGAAAGTAAGTATTATTACGACCTCTTTGTTTATTATAAAATTTTTGAATGTTTCTTTTTCTTGATAGCACCCAGTTTCGGTCCAGATACAGTTTTCACTACTGAACTGAATGAAACAACATTCAACATTTCATGGGCTCCTCTACCAACGGAGAAGAGCAATGGAAAAGTCGTTCACTATGAAGCAAATGCGGAGTTGGTAGCCACGAGAGGACGCTCACGGCGAGCAGTTGCGAGCAGTAAAGGAGTCAATACAACAGAAACCTTTGCTGTTTTTTATGATTTCCTCACTTGTTCCGAGTACAGTATCTCGGTTCGGGCTTTTACGGCCGTTGGACCTGGGCCCTATGGTACGGCCACACAGCTACAGATATCAAGTAAGTAGTCATAGTTACCCCAAATGAAGCCTCTGTTTCAAAACGAGCCTATTAATAAACCTTTCTTGTGAAAATAAGTTTTCTGTGCAAGAGAATAGAAAATCATTGTCACATCAATGGCTTCGCGCTTAGTCTCGTTTTGAAACAGAGGCTTGGGGTAACTCGAAAAAAGGCCTGTTATATAACAAAAATACATTATAAAAATATATTATTTGTTGGGAAATAAGTTTTCTTTTTTCCGATAACTTAACCACTTTTCCCATGATGCAAGGAGAGGTAGAGAGCATGGAATTAAGGATGTGTTTTTAAACTTTTAATTTATTCCAGGAAGTTTATTCCAGGTAGTTTATTCTTTTGCCTAAAAGTACGATTTTCTTGGATGATTTTCGCTCTCCCTTTTAGAACATCCAATCATCAGATTGTAGAAAACAAATAGAATTCAATGAATTTTCTTTTTAAGCTTCAATTAGTATCTGAATTCAAATTTTGCATTAACCGTGGGTTCTCTTAACTAAGCTTAAACCCAGCCATGGCGGAGAGTGCGTCTTTCGTAAAGCACTCCGTTATGCAGCCACCTATTAAGCGGCCAGTGATCAAAGTCCCGAAATAATTGTAGAAAATAATAATAATAATAATAATAATAATAATAATAATAATAATAATCCCGAGAGGTCTCGAGATGAGACTTGACTGGATATTTCTCCCCAAGGAAAATCCCTGTGCTAAATTTTACATAATAATAATAATAATAATAATAATAATAAGTAATGTTAACAGGACTGAGTGGAGTCCAATTTGGTCTGTAATCATACGAGTGATTAATGATTGTTTAATCACGAGTATGATCACAGACCGAATTAGACGACACGAAGTTCTGTTACTAATTAATCATAACTTTAACAAAATTTTGTGATATAGAAGGCTCTTTTTTAGAAAACAAATTCCAAGATTTTTTTGCTAGCAGTGAAAAAAAAAAGCCATTTAAGCGCGCGCGTGATGGCGTGTACTATCTAATTACTTAGGTATGACGCGTACTGTCCAATTAAACTGTTTTAGGAGGCACTGTGGCCGAATGGTCAGCGCATCGGACTCGCAATCCGTTGATCCCGGGTTCGAGTCCC